ACACACACACACACACACACACACACACACACACACACACACACACACACACACACACAGAACACCTGAAGCTGAGCTGTATTAAAAAAGAAAAAAGAAGGAGATTACCACCATGGCCCTACAAATCTTAGCTGAAGGCTTTAATTTGCAGGTTCTGGCTCCGGTTTGTTGTGACGTCACTGACCTGTAGGGGGCGTCGTGTCTGCGTGGGCCCTGTGGGGTTCAGCGGAGGACGGCGCCCGGTCCCTAGCAGTTACACTGCTGCTTGTTGGGCGGCGGCGTGCCTCTGGGCTGCCGTAGCTGCCGCAGCGACGCGTCCCCGTACTGAATCCCTGAGCCCATCCTCTCTGGATCCAGCTCTCCTTCAGGAATGATAAAAACGTTATYAACTCACACTCTCAAAATCCACGTCTAAAATACACACATCATTTTTAATAATTATGTGTGTGTTTACACATAATTACCAAATTTCCCTCTGGGATCAATAAAGTATTTTTGAATTGAATTTGAACTGAATAATAATGTCATACTGTTTTAATCTTAAAAAGTACCCGAGTCTATCTTGCTGAGGATGGTGCGAGCGCATTTCAGGAAAGCCTCCTCGACGTTCTCCCCCGTCAGAGCGCTCGTCTCTAGGAACATTAGCTCTGCGTGGGCATGGAGATGCAAAAGAAAATAAAAAAACAAAAATCAGCAGGAGCGGGGGGCCGTTAAGGACAGGGACACGTGTACTTGAAATCCGAGACGTGAGGTGTGAGACGACGCAGATGGACAAGTGCTCACCGTTCTCCTGAGCGAAGCGCGAGGCCTCCAGGAAGGTCACCTCTCGGTCTGCGTCCAGGTCTTTCTTGTTTCCACACAGAATGATAACGATGTTGGGGCTCGCCAGCGTCCGCGCGTCTGCGAGCCAATTGGTCAGGGTGTTGTACGTCTCTCTACTGTTTAAGAAAATATAAAATCAGTTCAATGTTGGCCTGGTAAACGGTTGGATGGTTTTGTTGTAACATAGTGTTGGTTTTACATTTGTTGCCCTTTAACCTCTATAGAGGCAGAGTTGTAAAGGAACTAAGTACACTTTGTCACTGTACTTAAGTAGAATTTTTGGGTATCTACTTTACTTGAGTAATTATTTTTCAGCCTACTTTTTACTTCTACTCCTTACATTTTTACACAAATAGCTGTACTTTCTAATCCTTATATTTAAAAAAAAGGCAAGTAGCAAGTCGTTACTTTTATTTCCTTTTTGCTTGTATTAATCATCCAAGTCATCTCAACTTTGCCATGCTTCTCCTCCTGCAAACTTTGTCCTAGAGCTGCCAATGTAATTTATATCTGTAAAGCTCCTGTGCCAAGTGATGGCTATGCCTTTTGGTGCCTGTAAAACTTATAGTTTATGAAATATTAATATTTAATGAATTATAATGGCAGTCAATGGAGCCTTTTATTGGTCCAATACTGCCCCATGCTGTACTCAACTTGGTACTGCACCATAGTTTAATATTTCAACTCAGTAGTTCAGTGTTTACAGTACTAATATGATTGTATTTTGATGTTTTACTATAATATTGTCTTAATACTGCTCTATTTTTGTAATATTATGCAGTTTAGTGTCAATAATTGTATTGGCAAGGTAAACTCTTTCTGCATAGTGTCTGTTTCAGTAAAACTACATAATTTCAGTTTGTTATACTGTCACACAATTACCCTAATTACAAACAACTGCTGACTTGGCAGGTGTTTGACTGATAATAATTAGAAAACACATCTGAACTTGGTCACACTTCATTCTGCAAGTCCAATGCTGCAGGCAAAGCCATGCTGCAATGACATGCTACATGGCAATGCACACTTGTTTTTACATTGTAAAAACCCATGTCTAGTTCCAGCTTGTTATTGTAAAAAATAAATACTATCCATATAAATTATGCCTTCTAGATAGAGTGAATTTACCGTAATTGTGGTTGAATGAGAAGTATAAATATATAAAATTCTGATACTGTTTTTGAAAGTAGAGGATGTATTTGTATTTCATGAATTATATTATTACATTTGGCCACAGCCCTCAGATAGATTTTCATTTTGGGGAAAAGGTTTGGGCAGCCTTGAAACAATTAGATTAGTGCATCCTAAATTTAACAAATTCATTATTTTAACACAACATAGTTGTTTCTGCCTTTTTTTGGGGGGTTGGGGGGGGTCACCTCCTAATAAATATCATTACGTAAAATCTAACTGCTCATTTTAAATCAATACTTTTACTTTTAATACTTAAGTACAAAAAGTATCAGATACTTTAGGACTTTTATTCTAATAACATTCCTAAAGGAGACTTTAACTTTTACCAAAGTAATTTTTTGGTAAGATACTTGTACTTTTACTCAAGTATCACTTTGTGGTACTTTATACAACACTGCCTCTATGAATAATATAATGCCTGAAATGTAGATAGTTGTAAAACATTTTTTACTTCATGCACTGATATTTTACTAACAGTCAAACAGAGGTGACTCCGATTAATGCCGAAATTTGAAACCAAAGTATTATACAACATGTAGAGCTTGAAGTGCGTGTTGAGGATGAAGCTCAGCTACTACCACACCAAATTTAACTCAACTTTAGAAAAGTTCGACCAAAATCCATTCAGTGGTTTGTGAGATATTTTGCTGACAGCGCTGTTACCGTTTCACAGAACTTTCAGCGAAACGCGGGGTCAGTGAGGTAAAACAAAGGGCGMAGCCGCACGCCGTGATGTTTAACATCTGTTTTCACGGACGAGCAGAGGCTGACGTCACTCCTCATCCARGAGCGCTCTTGAAACTTGGCTGCAGTCAGGCCCGTGCTGATCGCCTCGTTCTTTTATCCTCCGACTCCACTCAGACCCAACTCTAACTGCGGTACAGTCCCGCGTCATTTCAGCCATCCCTCGGTTGTGAGCTGGAATTTGCTAAATGACATCACCGCATCCGTCCAGGTTCTCATTAAATCACGCTGCAGAGTAAACGCCATGCAAGACTTGCAGCTCYCTTCATCTCACTGAATGAAAACACAGAACTGAAAACAATAAAGCCAGTTTTAGTTTCATGAACGCCATTGTTTTACAAGTACCTTGTAATATCGTAAACAAGAAGTGCACCAGCCGCTCCTCTGTAGTAGCTCCGTGTTACAGAACTGAAATTAGAAAAAAAATAATAATAAAATGAAACAAATTGTTTGAAATATTTGGCACAAAACAAGCTGGGGAGGAAAATGATAGTAAGAAGGAAAAAAAACAATAAATAAAAAAACAGGCTCTTCATTAAGCAAATAGTATTTCTCAGAGGTCCAACTGGAACATTTTTAGCTCCATTAAACGTCACAGTGTGAATAAAAAATAAATAAAAATGCTAAAAATCTTACCGAAATCGTTCCTGCCCTGCAGTGTCCCAGATCTGCAGTTTGACCGTCTTCCCACCAACGTTGACCACCCTGGAACCAAACTCCACACCAATAGTGTGGTTGGAGTCCTGCTTAACTGCACAGAGTCACAAAAACATCAACGTCTTCGCTGGAACACTACAGTGGTGCTTTCAGTTCTTGTATAAACATGTGATGCAGAATTAGATTCAGAAACATTTAACTTTGTGTTTGTAGAAAAGACACAACAAAGACTGTAAAGAGTTTCAGATGAATCTCTACTAGGACCAAACCAGTGTTTATGAAATTAACACCAGCATGTCTGTGACATTATTATTACAGTTTACAAAAACAGTTATCCATGAGTCCCCGGAGCGTACAGTACTGAATTGAGACATTTTGAATGTTTGACAACTATAATTAACATCCCCCCACAGCCTTGGCTGCAGGCCCTGACCGTGTGAAGTTCGGGATGTTCAGTTCTGCTGACATCGACAGAAAACTGAAGATTTGACACAAACAGGATACATAACTGAAGTGGAACTCCGTACAGAATATTAATAAGATTACATGAGGTTATTAAATATGAGAACATCATTTTCTATATTTTTTCTCACTCTTGCTCTGTTTGCTTTAGTACCAAAGCCTCTAACATCTAAACCAGGTGTGGGCCTATCAGGCAGCAAGGCTCCATCTGATTGGACAAATGATTAACAGGAAGAGCATAATCATGGAGCACTTTATATTAGTCTACAATTTAGCACTAAATAGTAGGGGTGTAAGAAAATATCGATACACTGAAATATCGTGATATTTCATTTCCCGATACTGTATCGATATTCTAAAGCCCTGTATCGATTTTTTTATTAAAGTTTAAAATMTCAACTTTCCTGCCAGCCGTTCATTTTTATGTTGTAGTTCAGCCTCTGACCACTAGATTTGGCTCCTCTACCTCTTGAGGTAGAGGCTTTTGTTAAGTGTTGAGTGACCATATTGTAAATTAATATTAAAAACTAAAAGCTGCAAAAAATATATTTTCAAACTATTTATTGTCAAATTTAGTCTAATAATTGAAAACATGGATGAAATAAGAAATATGAAACAAACAAAATGCATACAAAGCAGAACACAGCTAAATGTATCAAAAGCATGTCTATGTAATATTAGAATTTTCTGAGACGATGAATTTTGGTTTTTCATTTTTTTCCCCCTGTAAGAGGTTTTTATTTAATAGAATTTTTGGACAAAAAAAATTGCAATATATCGCCTTGCTTATAATATCGCAATATATCGGGATATATCGTATTGTATCGCCAAATTCTTGCCAATACACAGCCCTACTAAATAGAGCCAACTGATGATATTAAATTATAGATATTAAGTGCAGCCTTAATAAAAAGTGTTAACAGTACAGAACTGAACCGTTTAATTTGATACACACTCTTCTTTGAACAAATCCTTAAAGGAAAGTAAGAYTGAAGCCAGAGAACAGAGGTGTTGTACTTCATATTGAACATAATGACCTGCTCTAACTGTTAAATACACACTTCACTGTATTATTATCTGGAGGTTTCATTTCACACAGCAGCCGGTGACTCATTTTCCTCCAGAGGACCTGTGTGTGTGTAGATGAAATGTTTCACACACCCGCCGTGTTTTAACACACTTAAGACCACGTCCGTCAGGACTTACACTTGTTCTCGATGAACTGGTGGAGGAGGCAGGACTTTCCCGCCCCGGCGCTGCCGATCACCAGGAACTTGAAGAGGAAGTCTGAAGGCAAGGAGAGAGGAGATGAAGTCAGTGTGCAGCTCCATCCTCAGAGACAATCCTTAAATAAACTCCTAATCCCACGACTTTCACCAAACTCAAATTAGCTTTCTAAATCAGTAAACATGCTTCAGTTCTGGCTTTAAACAAATAATCTTATTTGTCTGAGGTGAAAAAAAAGAAAACGAAAGTCATTAAAGCGGAGCTCAGCCTTTATGATGATTTACCATTGTGTATTAACAGTTTTCTGTTTTTTTTTTTTCCTTTTCTTTTGCATTTAGAAGAAGATTTATATTTACATTTCCACCTACGGTAGGTTTGTTCACCTACAGACTTCAGTCAGCCTGACGTAGGTCAGTGGTTTGTTTACATTAAATGCATACCCATATTTCAGACTTGCATGTCAATATTATTGAAAACTACTGGTGCAAACTCTTTCAAACAGCACCATGTAATAAAGGACTAGGTAACTTTAAAGGAGACCAATTATGGATCCTAGAAATTTTTATGGTATGTCTGTGGGCTATCCAGACCATGTTCATTCAATTTAYTGCACAAAATAATTCTCAGATAATAAAATTTCCCATTTTCTAGTTCTGCCTGCTCTGACTTCCGTTCAGAAGAGCTGTTTATGTTAATGAGCTCTGTTGGTAACGCCCTCCAAAAATCTGTTGACATAAACTCCGCCCTCCAAAGCCAGCGTTTACGTTAGCATGGCTAATAATAGCAGAAGCTGCGTTGTACAACCATATGAGACCCAGAGGCAGAGTCGGTTGCAGCTTCTTTCTTTTTTTCTCTCCCTCCTCTGCTCTGCGCTCACTCTGCATGCTGTTACCAGAGCAGGGAGCAGCAGCGGTCAAAATACCTCWGAAACTCAAACAAATAGGCTTTAACAAGGCTTTAATAAGCTAAACAAGGTACATGAGAAAACGTGTTCATAATGAACAAAAAAAWTTTAAATTTTGTCCATTCTGGTCTCTCACTCTCTGGTCCAACACTCTACCCATTGCCCCATTGGAGACTTGTTGTGAAATGAGCTGCGAATTGCACAACACAGTGACGGCTTTTTATACTGAGGAGGTGGAGTCTCACCCGGGGGTTGCTAGGTAAGGGGCTGAACGCAGGTTCCGGTGGGTTGTCGTACGGCTTGTGACATCACAAAACGACAGAAGTATAAAACTTGTCGTTAATATACATTAAAAATACATTTACTTACAGTAAATATGCCCCTGGGTGCATTTTTTTTGGTCCTAGGACTGTTTTATTAATAAGTACATACCCAAAATTGAGTAAAAAAAAAAAACCTTTAAAAGTGAATTTTGCATAATAGGTCCCCTTTAAAGTTTTAATTTCTACTTTTCAATTGGTACCTTTAAGTCAACAGAACTGTAACTGAACCGAACAAAACTAGGTGGGAAAAGACAGGTTTTCTTGCTCTGAAGAACTCACTCGACTCGTATGATCCGGGACGACTGGACCTGCCACGAAAAGCGAGACACGCAGCCTTTGTTTGCTCCGGTCAATGATTTGCAAGAGACATTTAGATAAGTACAGCTTGAGACCCCAGTGAAAGTTTTTTATCCTGCTTTCATGGTCAGGTTTTATCTTAGAGGGGGAGGGGGGAAAATTGTGTTAAAAACATAAGATTCGTGGTATGTTTCTGACCGTGAGAGCAAATTATGAATGCAATTACACCTTCCTGCCRGAGAGCTCGCTTCAAAAGGAAATTGAAGACAGATAGCAGGTGTGGTTTAAGCTGAAGCCGAGGCTTTACAGATAAGAAGAGCTGCATGGGAAAATGATTGGGAATGCCTGTCGATATTACAGACCGGGGGAAATATCCTGTCAGTTTACAGCTGCTCAGCTTCAGCTCCTCTCTCCCTCTCTGATATTTAAATTTATTACGCCGGTGCTCACAGAGCCATCACCACCGCCTTAGTTTATGATGAGTCATAGTCCGCTGAGCTGGTGTTTTCTCCAGCAACACTCCCAAACCACATTCATGGGAACTTATTGACAGCAGTGAAGCAAGTGAAGGATTTTTCTGTGACTGCAGTRAGCTGTACGTCTCAGACCGGTCTCTGGAAACGACTCTCGGAGGCGAGCTTTTAAAGCCGACATCGTGTACGGTTTCCCCTGCAAGATCMGCGAACAACCATCCAGCTGTCAATATGTCTACGAATTGGTGAAAGTAATAAAAACACAGTCTGCACATTCTGAGGCTGCAGTATTTTCTGAAGGGGATACAGTTTTGCTACTGAAATCAGTTTATGAAATCTTTGGTTTTAATTAGTCTTTTAAAAAAGTAATAAAACAGATTTCTGCTCAGAGCCTAATAGTTTTTTTATATCAAACAAATTTTGTGGTTTAACGTGTGTCATAAAGAACAAATATCAAATAAATTAAATATGTAAATATATATGATGTACTTATTGTCCACATGATGCTTTAGCCGATTCCACTACTTCTACAGGAGATGATGCTGGAGACAGAAATCAATACAAGGCTATTACAGCTCCCATTAGAGCTGGCACTTTTCCATATGCACAGCCCACATGGATAAAGTTTCATAGAAAAAAAAAATTAGGAGAGAGAAACCAAGTCTAAAACAGATGGCGAGAGTCTGAGTGCTGGGGCTAAAATTCAAAACGTGGCTTTGTGAAATTCTCTGACCTTTCTCATGTGCATGTTGTTCTCATACACGCTGATCTGAAATATCAATACAGTTGTTTAGCCAGGGTGTTGGGTCGTCCTTCCATTCAACTTGTGCTGTATCTCCTAAGATCTCCTTCCTGATCTTATTCATCCATGTTACTCTCAAGAATCTCACACCTTCCAGTTCTATCACCTGTCTTTTTGTCTCCAAACCACACAAAACAGCTGGTCTCACTTAACCCAGCAACCCCAACACAGCTCATATCAGGTTACAAGAGGCTAAAAGTTAATGTTTTAGAGACACTGCTATAAAAGTGGGATTAAATTGAATAATGCAGCTGTTTTTATTTAGTTAAGTATTTCACTGTGCTTGCTGGTATCAAAGTTGATTGTATGACCTTGGTTTAGCTCAGGATGAGAAAAAGGAAATTAAAATAAATCAAGCAGCTGCAGCTCCACAGGTGAACTGGAGCAATAAAAAAAAAACACAAGTTAACTTCCTCCTAGGCCTGGTGACTTAAAGCTACCTCATAAAACGTTGAGATTGAACTTTTGCTGTGTTAATTTAGGTTGCAAAGGTCGCACATTGGGCATGAAATTCAACGAGCTCTGGCTATCTCCGAGTGCAGACATGCCACTTTTAGCGTTTCGGCTAAAGTTTTGGCCAACTTTCCCTTGAAATGTCTCACCATCTGCTAGCAACACACCGGATTAACGAGGTAATTAAACCGACTGTCTGTAGTGGAGACAACCGTATCAGTTAATACACACAACGCTATCAAAGTGAGGCTATAATCAAGTTAAAAGTCAGAGACGAATGTGAAATATTCCATAAAACACTCAGACCTGTGCTGTGGTGGGTTACGCTAACTAGCAGCATCGCTAACACATCAGCCCACAGCGAAAACTGTCTCCGTGACGGCTGCCACAAACATACCGTATGTCTCAGACATGTCGACGTGTGAAAGACCCTCTCACGGTCCTTTCGGGGATACCGAGACAGTTGTGTGTCCAATGGGTTCCACAGCTCTTCAGGGTGTTTATCTGCGATGCTGCTAGACGTTTCCTTGATCCGACTACAACCAAACACAGCAGATGCGTGGCTACGTCATCAGCGTTCCCACTTTGTGCTGCGTTCAATGTCAACGGAAGTGGTGCGATCGACACAAAATACATTGAAAACATAAGGGTTTAAATTGCAAATGTTTAAAAAAAATAACAAACTGCAACGATTAGTTTAAATGAATCTATCTCTAAATTGAGCTCAAATCTATTATATTATGTTATAACTTGATAAAAGGCCAAATGGTTCTTATTTGATTTAGATTTAATTTTTTCGATTTTCACTTAAACTGGCAACAAAATCCCTAAAAGGCAGTATGAAATGAAAACCAGTCTGAGCAAAATCATTTTTATTCTGAAACAAATTAATACTTGACTGGATTCAAGCATTTCATTAGTTTTTTTTATAATTAACAATTAATATATATTTTTTGAATACACGAGGGAAAAGAACAAACTACRATAACAGCCTACTATGTACAGACCCAGATGATGATAGGCTTTAGTTTAAAATAGCGCTGAAAAAGATTGAAGTGATATAAAACATTGATAGAGACAAAAAATCATTTAGGATCCAAGGCAACTATAAAGAACGACACAACAACAATAAAACCTGTTAAACTGGAAAGACAACTTAATAAGACAAGCAATTTTACTTTGTCCACTAAACAATCAGATATAAATAAACCTTAAAACACAACACACACACTGGGGGAAATAAAAAATCACCACAAAAAATAAACTAAAAAGATAAGTAAAATAAACACAAATAAAACCACCACAAGACGCATAAAAAAACTACCACAGGCAAAACAGAAACAAAAAGCCAAAAAACAAAGACCTACAAAGTAATTAAAATGAACTTTGAACGTTTCAAAATGAAGACAAACAATCCAAGGTAGAGACAAATCACTACAAATCTGAACACATCAGCCATGTTTTCACTTTCACTGGTTTAAAAGTGTGGGTATCTGTGAAAGCAACACTAAGCCACAAGGTGGCAGACAAAGGTAATGAATGTTTTTTTTAAGAAGCAGCAAACTACACTGATTGACTGACTTTAACCTCCACATAGTCCACAAATTGATGTTTTTTTATTGTTTCTGTTCTCTGTGAAATTGCACAATTATTCTATTTTTGGACCAGAGATTCTAAAATCTGATAATCTTGTTTCCTTGATTCAAAATTATCTCAATGTCTAAATAAATTTGTGTCATGTGTAAAAAAGTTTTTTTGTGTGTGGGTTTGCGTGGGGTGAAGGACTGACTAACACAGAGTAATAAATGTGTTCTTTTTCTTCCTATGTTCATTCATGCATGGACACACATACACACACAAAAACAAAACAAAGAAGAAAAAAAAGCCCAGGGTGTGGAGTGGCAGAGCACCCGAGGGCAACAGGTGATAAATCACAGTGCCTTCCACTCGGCTGCCATCCCTCAGAGTTCCTCCCCGCCTTTTGTTCTGCTCTGAGATCCACTCATCCTCCCCGGCCTTGTTTTAAAAGCTCCTTTCACAAAGATTAAAGACAGAAAGAAACACCCGGCTCAGCTTCGTGTGGGGGCACGGATGTTTTCCTAAGGTGGGCTACGAGAAAAGGCCGTCCGCAAAAGGTGTGCGGGCTGAAAGAACAGAGGAGGGGCTTTTCCTTCCGTTAAAGGTGCTTTCCTTTGTGAGTGACATGATGCTCATTCAGTCCCTGTCTCTTTTGTTCTCTCTCTTGTCATCCTGTCCCCCGCAGGAGTCATCATCGGAGCAGATATTTGTCTGGACTGAACTGCAAACAAAGCATTATTTCAGTGGAAGGGGGAGGCTGACTGTTGCCTCACTGACTATTCAGATTAACACAGGAAAGCCTGGATTCACGTGCTGCTATGAAAACAGAGTATTCTTATACAAAATACATATAGAACAGAGTTTTTATTTACCCAAGGGCGTAACTTTTTTTTTTGGGGGGGGGGGGGTATGCTCGAAAACTCTGCATGTCATTTTCAGAAATTACACTTAAACATACATACTGTATATG